CTTAAGATATATTGAACACGGCTCCACCAGATCTATGCCTGAGCTCCTCAAGAAACATTTGGCAACCCTCCCAGGAAATATGCACCCACGATCTCCAGAGGTTTGAGCGCATCCTTGTAACCGTCAGTGATACTCTTTGCGCCTCCAGAAGGGTTCCCAGCGTCAGTCGTGACACAGTCATTGGCGAGCACCTTCCAGTGTTCTCGCCGCAACCTCGAAGCGCTGTCTTCAGAGAGAGGCCCCTGCAGCCGATGCTCTTGGAAAAATAGCACGCCATGGAGCGAGCCTCCTGTGTCAAGACGCACCCTGCTTGCCTCCAGTGTGCCCTGGGTTTCTTGGGTTTTGATGGTTTTGCTGTGGAAAACGTGACGTTCCCACACCAAAAATCAATGACGTCCTGGGGTCTCAAGATTGGGTTTCTTGCGGAAGGTTCCTTGTGGTCGAGCTTCTACTGTACTCTTCCTTACGCAGTCGCCTGAGCCTCTCCAGCCCAGCTCGACCCATCAAGCGTCGTGAAAAGCATGGGCGAGACGCCTACTCTGCAGTTCGGGGCCGCCGAAACCCTGGAACCAGAACCTCCGCCAACGACAGGTCCGCGAAGCCCCACCCTTTGAGGAAGCGGGGCACGAAGGAGGCCAACCACATGGTGGGGCAGTGGTCAGAGAGGGCTACCCTCAACTTGCCGACCCACTCCCCAGAGTAGCCGGTACTGACCCACGCGCAATTGAGGCAGAACACCGCGGCGTCTTGCCTCCAGCCAATTTGACAAAGAGGGCTCCCTCGCCGCATGTCCTGGGGCTTGACTTGGCTCTCCAAGGGACCCCAGCCTACGACGGTTTCCCTCGTCGAGGCCATCTCGGCCTTCCCCAGCGAGGGCCAACCCGAACCACAAGGCAAAGCTCAGGTAGCCGAGGAACCCTCACCCCCAAGTGGCAGGCCGCCAGGACGAGTGAGGCCGTGACTCTAGGCCTCCTAGATGGGGTCCGAGTAGATTGGGTCGGAGGATCGCGCCGCATCGCCAGTGTAACGACGATGCGGCTCGATGTGGAGACCCTGTTTCTCCGCGCCGACATCGCCGAGCCGATACATCGCCGACGTCGCCGATGCATCTCCAGTGCATCGCCGATACATCGGCGATGCATTGGCGATGCGGCGCGATCCGTCGAGCCCATCTGCTCACACCCCATCTAGGAGGCCTTTGGTGAACTGGGTAGGATGTCCTCAGCATGCTCACTACGATCCGAGGCACATTCGAGCAAGGGCTGACCCTGACTCACTCCTCCTCCTCCTCCTCCTCCTCCTGTTGTCTTCTTCCTCCTCTTACTCCTCCTTCTCCCTCCTTCCCTCCCTCTTCCTCCTCCTCCCTCCCTCCTCCACAATTACTCAATATGAATACTACTCTCCTCCTTCCCCTGATGACGGGTTGGGAGTGTTCGCCCCCGCCCCCCCTTGCGTACTGTTTGTTTACACACAGGATTCCCCGGAGTTGGGTTTTCGCCTGCATTTTTTTCCAAATGCTGCTCTCGCTGACCTCATTTTCGGGCCCCGCTCGTTCCGAATCGTGCTCCCGCTGCAGCGCTGGCCTCATTTCCGTGCTTCCGCTCGTTCCGAATCGTGCTCCCGTTGCAGCGCTGGCCTCATTTCCGCGCTTCCGCTCGTTCCGAATCGTGCTCCCGCTGCAGCGCTGGCGTCATTTCCCGTGCCATGCCACGGCATGCAATGCAATATTAGGTTGCGCTCCGCTGCGCGATGCCATGCCTTCAGCTGAAGCTGTGATATGCAGCGCTTCAGTGCCACGTCGTGCTATGCCATGCTACGCCTTGATCTTCAACGCCATGCTATGCAATGTTATGTTCGGGGCCGCTGTGCGATGCCATGCTTTGCGTTGCAAAGCTTTGTGATGCAATTCTTCACTACGCCACGCAAAGCCATGCTGTGACATACTACGCTTTGCGGTGCTCTTCTATGCCATGCCATGCCGTGCTCTACAATGGATCGCGTACCCTTTCGGGATCATTGCCCTGCTCGACATCCGACTGTGCGAGTAGAGAGGGGATCTAGGCCATGGTAAGGGATGGGAGGGAGGGGTAGGATGTCAGATATGACGCGAGCGCACCTAGCTTGTCCCTCCCCCTCCCTTCCTTCCCTTCCTCTTCCCCCCCCTCCTCCCTCCCGAGCCTGCAGTAGCCCGCAACAGACAAGACGAGAGGCTCCCCGGAGTTCCGCTCCGCTCCGCTCCTCCCTCCCTCCCTCCCTGCCGCGCCCTCCCTCCCCCCCCCCCTCCCCCCCTCGCCTCCCCCTCCTCCTCCTCCTCCTCCTCCTTCCTCCTCCTCCTCCTCCTCCTTCCTCCTCCTCCTCCTCATTCTTTTCCTCCTCCTCCTCCCTCCTTCCCTCCTCCTTATTCTTTTCCTCCTCCCTCCTTCTCCTCCTCCTCCTCCTCCTCCTCTCCTTCTCCTCCTCCTCCTCCTCATTCTTTTCCTCCTCCTCCTCCTCCTTCTTTTCCTCCTCCTTCTCCTCCTCGTCCTCCTCCTCCTCCTCCCTCCTCCCTCCCTCCCTCCCTCCCTCCCTCCCTCCCTCCCTCCCTCCCTCCCTCGCACGTCGCCGACCCATAGGCCGCGGGGGGAGCGGAGACCCCGCCCTGCCGCGCCCCCTCCTCCCCTGCCCCTCCCGGTGCTGCTCTCCTCCCCGGCGCGGCGCCCGCCCGCCCCTCGCCGCGCGCGCCCGGCCTGCCGCAGGTCGGGCACGCCCCTCTTCGACCACTCGCAAGAGTGACCTTTCGCTGGAGTGATCTTTGGTGCGGGCACAATGGGGTCCTCCGATCGCCGAACGCGAGACGGCAGTGGCGTCTTGCGCGCTTGTGCTTGGCCCCCCCGCGGCCTCCAAATAGCCGCGCATCAAAGGTCACTCTTACCCAGGGTCATTCTTGCGAGTAGCCGACCTCTGCAGGAGAGAAGTAATACAAAAATGATGCAAAATCAATACACAAGCTCAAACATAATACAAAGTTTAATGATAAAAAATATTACTATTTTTGATCATTTGGGGATCTGTTTGGACTATTTCTTGTTTTTCGTCCAAAATCCGCCTGTAGGGGGACATGCCCGACCTGAAGCCTGCCCTTCGCCGCGCCCCCCCCCTCCCCCCAACGGCGCCAGAGGTCCCCGAGGACTACAAGTCCGAGGACCAGCGGGGGGGACCAAGGGCACCCTCGAGGGCGTGCAGCTATTCTCGGGCGATCGCAAACGTGGATCAAGTGGGCGTGGATTAGCGACGGGTCCTGTTTCCATGGGAAATCGCGGATTTCCGCCGCCGAAAGAAGCGGCACTGGCCGCATTTTGGGGAGGGCACCTCCCGCGATCCATGGTTTTGGCGACCGCGCGCCAAATCCATGGATCGCTAGTCCATGTTTGCGCGACCCCGAGACTCGCGGTTTGCGCTTCGCTTTTCGGCTCCGACTCCTCACCCTCTTCGTCTTCCTTGGGGGGCTCGAGAGCGCGAAGTCGTTCGCGTTTCGCGCAGCGCGAAGCGCGAAGTTGGGAGTCCTTGGGGACGTGCAGCGCACAGTGGGCTCACGTCGTCACGGCGCCGCGGCATCGCGGGTGCGAACGAACAAAGAAGCCGCGCCCTCACGCCACGGGCAACGCAATCGCCCAGTCATCGCCGGTATGGGGCCCGATAGCCCGCCCCGCCCATGACCGTTAGTAATAACTGTCCTAATTTCCGCCCTTCCTGGTTTCTCCCCTTCTCTGTTCTAACACGTCTTGCTCTTCCTTCTCTCCCGCTCGTAGCTTCTTGAACCCCGCCGCCACCCCGTGCTGCCGGCCCGACTGGGTGACAGTGCAGCGTGGATGATTCCGACTTTTGCTGGCCACGTGTGGCTTCGCCCTACGGTGAGTGACGTGATCATTTTTCGTGGGCAGTTGGTGCTGGATCGAGGGGTCCTCACCCGTGCGCTCGTGAGCGCGAGAGGCTTCGTGCGTAGGGCCGGTCTCTTGAAGCCTGCTCCGGGCCGTACGTCCTGAGAAGTCGAGCGCATGGCCTCTTGAGGTGGTTGTTTTGGGCCTCTGGAGGCCAGCAGGCAGGCATTGGGGGACCTGCTCTCCCTTTGTCCGCCTTCTTTGGGGCGTGCTCGCTGCTCTGGGCGGCACCCGCGCGGTTCCTTGCGCGCTATGCCGCATCGCACTGAGTGCACTCGCGAGCGGAGCCGGAGAAGAGTGCACGCAGACACATTTTTTGGGGAATGATACCGGAGAAAAAACCGAGTCGGATTTTTCTGGGCTAGGGGGCTACAGGGCTATAGGGCTATGGGGCTATAGGGCTGTAGGGCTATATGGCTCTAGGGCTATAGGGCTATGAGGATATAGGGCTATAGGGCAATGGGGCTATTGGGCGATTGGGCTATAGGACCAGAAGGCTCTAGGCCTCTGGGGCTCTAGGGCTCTGGGGCTATAGGCCCTCTTGAGCCGTGCGATCGGCCTGTTGGGGTCTCTCGGCCCGTCTTCGGGCCCCTCGGGGCCAAGCGAGTAGTGCGGGAGAACGCCCCCGGCGCGCCAAGGGCCCCGGGGGATTTGAGCATAAGGACTGTCGTCGGGGTCGGCAAAGAGGGGGGTGATGACTAGGGGGGGGGTGGATATCATGGCTTGGGCCATGATATTTCCCCAGATTTCATGGCGCCTCTTCTCATTTCATTACGTTCCTGGCCCCCCCGCTGGGCCGCGCACATGCCGCCGGTCATGATTTGCACCCCCCCCTCTTGGACACCCCCCTCTTGGCAACTCCCGAAGAAGGACTGAGGCTCAGGGGACAGCAAGGGACCTGAGGACACCCCAACTCGTGCCTCTTGGAACGGTGGCGAACATGTATGGTATGTTTTGTTCTTCCTCTCCTCTTCGCCCTCTCATTCGCCTCTTCCTCTCATCATCATTTCTCCTCCTCCCTCTTTTCTTTCCCTCTTCCCTTTCCTGCTGCTGCTGCGTCCTCTCTATTGTAACCCTCCCCAGGAGAAGACACGGGTGTACAACCACGAGGATTTTTGCGAGACGCTGACGGAGGAGGGGCTTGGGAGGGCCCCGGAATCTAGGCGCGCGTCTTCTAGGAGGCTCGGGCCCAGAGCAGGTGGAGACCAGAAGAGACGCCTCTTCACTGGGTGCCCGACCACAACAGAGCGCAGTGCAAATAGCAGATTTACATGTGCATCGGAATTTTGCTGTCATTGCACACCTATTGGCCGCAGTCGACCTTTGATGGTGCTGAAGCCCTAGTTGGGCTGGGGTCCGAATAGGCGTGACGGGTTGTCCGCCCGATTCCTTTCGGTCAATGCCGCTGCGCGGTAGGACTAGAGACGTTATTCTCCGATTGTCTCAAGAACCCTATTTCTCTCCCGCTCGTCGTACGTGTGGTATCCGCCTGGCCATCCTCGTCGTGCTCGTCGTCGTTTTCCTCCGTGTCCTCTTCCTTTTGCTCCTCCTGATCCCTCCTGCGATTCTTTTCCAGATGCTCTTGATCCTTCTCATCCTGCTCGTCGTGACCACTGCGCGCGGCCTGCGGCCATTGGCCGAGGCCATGAGCATCGACAGTCGTACACGCCAGTCGCATCCCGCCACCGCGCTTGGGTTGTGGGTATGAAGCTTAGTGGATGTTCGTTGGGATCTCGTGGGAGGCTTCTCGGGGGCCTCTTGGAGGCAGTTCGGACACCTCTTGGGGGCCGTTTGAGGGCCTCTTGGGGCCTCTTTTGGGCCTCTTGGGTCTCTTGGGGGCCTCTTGGGGGCCTCTTGGGGGCCTCTTGGTGGCCTTTTGGGGCCTCCTGGGCGCCTCTTAGGGCCTCCTGGCATCTTGGGGCGGAAGGCTCGGATTTTCGGTTCTTGCTGTCTCTTTTGGGCCCTTTTTGCAGCCGTCTTGAGAATTTGTTTTTCATCCCCGGCCGATGACGGCCGTCATCTGGGGGGGGAGGGGGGAGGGGGACGTCACGTTTCGGGCCAGCGGCACTTGGGAATGCTTCGGAATTACCAAGGACGGGTAGCAGCAGCATGTAGGTGGCGATCGGCACCACAGCGCCTGTGTACACCACAGTGCTTGCGTGCACCACAGCGCCTGAGTACACCACGCCGCCTATGTACACCACAGCAGCCGCGTGCAACACAGCGCCAATGTGTGCCACAGTGCCTGCGTGCACCACAGCGCCTGGGTACACCACGGCGCCTGTGTGCACCACAGTCACCGTGTGCAACAGAGCATCATTGTTGTACATAGCATTGCAGAACAATTCCTTAGGGCAAACTGGAGTGCCTGTGCATTCCGCAGGACAGATTTTTAATCATAGGTTTTGGAAAGGAGGAGTCCTTATGGCAAAAGGAGCGCCGCTGGAATCTACCAGTCTTCCCGAGTCCCCCCGCATCGTCCTAATTCCTCCCATCTGCGGTCAGAAAGCTCTGGCAAAATTGGCCGTCCAGGAACCAACTGGGCTGATTAAATCTGCGGTGCACACTGAAACGCGTACGTGCGCTGTAGCGCCGAACTGTACGACGGGGGGAAGGCTGCAGGAGGAGTAGGAAGGAGGAGGAGGAGGAAGAGCTGGAGGAGGAAGAGGAGGAACCAGGAGGAGGAGGAGGAGGAGGAGGAGGAGGAGGAGGAGGAGGAGGAGGAGGAGGAGGGACGAACATCGCAGTCTATTATCAGCACTTCCCTGGTGTGGTGTTTAGCTGTCCGCAGGAGATCCTCACATACATGTTCCTTTGTCCTGTGCACGCAGGCACTGTGGTGTACACCAGCGGTGCGTTGCACGCGGATGCTGTCGTGTACATACGCGGTGTGGTGTGCACGTGGTTGTTATGGTTTACACATTCGCTGTGGTGTGCACAGGCGCTGTGGTGCACGTAAGCACAGTGGTGTACATGGGCGCTGCGTTGCTCACGGCTGTTGCGGTGTACACAGGCGCTGTTGTGTACACGCGCGCTGTGGTGCACGCGAGCATCGTGCTGTACACAGGCGTTGTGGTGCAGATCGCCACCTACATGCTGTTACTACTTGGCCCAGGTCATCCCTAGGCATTCCTGGACGCCGCTGGCGCGGATCGTGACGTCATCTGGGGGGCAGGGGGGGGGCGGGGCCGATGACGGCCGTTATCCTGGAACATAGAAAACAGGCTCCTTGTGGCCCGCCTGGGCCGTTTTGGGTGCTTCTGGGGCTGTCTCGTGGCTGTTTGGGGCCGTTTTGGGGCCCTCTTGAAGACCTCCTGGGCCGGTCTTGGGGGCCTTTCACGCTGTCTGGGGGTGTCGGGAAGCTGAACACCAACATCCTTCATATTTCCAAGGAGAATCAATGATTTTGGCCTCTTGGGGCACTCCTGGTAGGCCTCTTGGAAGCCTCTTCGGGCGTCTTGGAGGCCTCTTGGGCCGTCCGGGGGCCATCTTGGGCGTTTTCGACTGATGTTTGGGCGTCTCGGGGCTTCTTGGGCCGTCTTGGATGCCTTTTTGAGGCCCTCTTGGCGCGTTTTGGGTCCCTCTGGCGCCCGAACAAGTCACGCGACAAGACACGACAAGCCCCAGGGGGACCGCGCCAAGCCCTGGAGAAACGAAGAATTTCGGGCCCGGGCCCTGAAGACCCCTCAGGAGTGAGGATTGCGGCTAAGAGGGTAGTGGGAGAGCACCCGAGGACACGCCCACTTTGTGCCCAGCGGCACGGTAGCGGATTTTTGGATTCCCAGATTCCAATCTAACTACAAGCGCCTTCCTGCTTCAATCATCGGTGTGCCACTGCTGTGTTTCACTATTCTGTGGGCGGGCTCGAGCCCAATATATCTTATCCGCCGTCCGACGGGTATCCTCGGTGCGCGTGAGATGCGCCATACCAGACGGAAGCTGACCACCGGTTGGACCACTCGGCTCGGCGGAGGAAGAACCCGCGGCGAGCGAGGGGGGCATCGAGAAGGAGAAGGCCTTCTCAGAAGGCAGTGGGGCTTCTCAGAAGTCCTCGCGCCTTCTGAAAGGTTTTCTGTGCCTTGGGGAGAAGCTTCGGACACTTTTCAGAAGGCTGGGGAACTTCTGAGCCTTCTAAGAAGGCCCGCCCCTTCTCACTTCCCCCTCGGATTCGCCGCCGAGTTGGATTACTCGGCGCGTCGGATGAGGAAGTGAGTGTCCGTGTGTATGTGTGGTTAATCAGGTAGGCCAGCGGCCTTTTGAGGATGGAGACAACGAGGAAAAAGCGGATACGGAGGAGGAGGAGGAGGAGGAAAAGGAGGAGGACGAGGAAGAGGAAGAGGAAAAACGAATAATAATATAATACAGCGAATAAGAAGACGCAGAAGAAGACGAATCATAAGAATAAGGAGAAGACGAATACGAAGACAAATAATATTGATTATACGAATAATGATACGACGAACACGCATAATACGAATACTAACAAGGATGCTAGAATTACTAAGAATAATAACACTAGTAATACGAACAAGAACAATAAGACGACCACTACTAAGAAGAAACATAATAATACTACGAATAATAAGGCGAAGACGAAGAAGAAGACGACGAATAAGGATATTATTGTAGTGGCCTTCGGCCAGTGCCGCCGATCCGGGGCGCTCCGACTGATGTGATCCTCCTTCGCCCTCGTCCCTCCTCTCTTTTCCCTTCCTTCCCCCTTTCATTCCGCATTTATCCAGTGGCCTTCGGCCTATCCCACCACCGTGCGTGGGTGGAGGGTCAGAGGCCTCATGGACGCTGGTTGGGATATCGTGGTTGGCCGGGACCTCTGGGGGGCTCTCGGAGGCCTCTTGGGGCTTCTTGGGGGCCTCTTGGGCCTCTTGGGGCGACCTGGGAGCCTCTTGGGGGTGTCTTGGGAGTCTCTTGGGGCTTCTTGGGGGCCTCTTCTGGGCCCCTTGGGGCCTCTTGGAGGCTTCTTCGGAGCCTCTTGGTGCGGGAGGGGTGGCACTCGAGTTCGAAACCCCCTCGGAGGCCACGATCCTTGTGAGGGGTGTCAAAAAACGCATCCGCCGGAAACTCGCACCCCCCCCTCCACCCCCCCTTCCCCGGCAGAGCCACCCCGGCAACCCCCCCGGAGGCTGAGGCTCAGCCTCGAGGCTGTAGCTGAGACTCCATGTAACTCACACGCCGGATCGGCGGACTACTAATAATAACAATACTACTACTACTGACAATAACAATACTAATACTAATACTAATACGAATAATACTAATAATACTACGACGAATAATAATACCAATAGTATTAATCAAACTAATATTAATGATCTTAGAGCTATTATTATTGATACAAATCATAATCATACTAAGAATAAGAAGAAGCATACTAATACTAAGGCGAATGATAATACTAATGATGAGAAGAGGAGGAGGAGGAGGAGGAGGAGGAGGAGGAGGAGGAGGAGGAGGGAGGAGGAGGATGATGAGGAGAGGAGGAGTAGGAGTAGGAGAAGGAGGAGGAGGAAGGAGGAGGATGAGGAGAGGAGTGAGGGGGTTTGGAGGAGGAGGAGGAGGAGGAGGAGGAGGAGGAAGATGAGGAGGTGGAGGAGGAGGAGGGAGGAGGAGGAGGAGGAGGTGGTCCGCAACCATTTTGGCTCAAACCGTTCTGGGCTCCTCCGATTTCTTCCGCGGGCAAAATGGAGGGTCTTGTGCGTACGTGCTTCAGAGTGGCACGTGCGCGCGTGCCAATCTGGCAACGAGCAGCAACTATTCCGTATACATTGTGGCTCGCGCGATGGTCAACCCCCGTGGGCCGCGCCCCCCCCCCCCCCCCGCGGGGCGCGTGGCGACGGCGGCGCGGCGTCGGCGGCCGCGGGCTGGGTCCTCCGTGGCCCCAGACAAAGGGGAGCCTCCAGGGGTGTTTTCACGGGTCCGTTCGCGGCCCGTTTGAGGATGTCTCAGGCGGTTTGCTCGCTTTCGTGCCCACCATCCTTGGCTTTCAGAGCAGGTTTTGAGGATGTCTCAGGCGGGGCGCTGGTTTCAGCACCCCATAAGGGGAGCCGCCAGGGATGTTTTCACGGGCCCGTTCGCGGCCAGTCTGAGGAGGGGGAATGAATGGGAGGCTCAGATTCAATCATATTCAAAGCTCACTCGGACTCATGCCCACTCACTCGCATTCGGGTTCGCTTGTCTTCGTCGGCCCTGTCGCCCACGTGGACGCGCTATTATAGTCAAGCGCCCATGAACAGACGCTCACTATGGCACGAGATTAAACATGAGATGCACATATGGGGAGCTCCACGTAGTGCGTAATTTTGTTGTTTCCTCCTGGCGGGCCTTGGGTTTCTCGTGGTGAGTTTTTCGATTCCGATTTCAGGGAAGCGGCTGGTTTGCGAAGCGGACATTTTTTTGTTTAGAAAAAGGGAACTCGAGTAACTAGAGGATGGGGGGGGGGTGAGAAGGAGGAGGAAGAGGAGGAGGAGGAGGAAGAGGAGGAGGTGGATCAGGAGGAGGTGGATCAGGAGGACGAGGAGGAAGAGGATGAGGGGGGGAGGAGGAGAAAGGGTAGGAGGAGGGAATGCAGAGCCAGAGCATGACGAGGAACAGTGGAGGACGGCATGCGGAGTAGGAGGAGGAGGATACGTAATTCTAATACGACGGATACGAATAATACATGTAGGACGACGATTAGGAATGTTCACGCGAAGAAGGGTAGTATTAATACGGGTGCTACGCATACGATTTTTTACACATAAGAATGCGAGTGACATCATGGATATTACAAATAGTACGAATAGCAAGAGTATAACTAAAACCAAACACAACGCATGCACACCTATAGCAATGACAAGAAGAACATTACCCATCTTAATACTGGTAGTAATTCCACGATTAATCTTGGTAATAATAGCACCAACCAGTCATACTCATAATACTCGCGCTGTTACTACTACTACTACTACTACTACTACTACTACTACTACTACTACTACTACTACTACTACTACTACTACTCTTACTACTACTACTACTCTTACTACTACTACTACTACTACTACTACTACGACTACTACTACTACTACTACTACTACTACTACTACTGCGACTCCTACTACTACTACTACTACCACCACCATTACCACTACTTCTACTACTAAAACTGCGGCTGCTACTGTTACTACTACTACTACTGCTACTGCTGCTGCTACTACTACTATTACTACTACGACTAGGACTACGACTATTACCCGTACCAATAACAACGTTAATAGTAATACAAGCCATACGATTAATGATCATACTACTACGAGTACTACTACATGTCTATTGTTAATAATATTCAGCATCATGCTGCTGCTGCTACTACTACTACTACCACTACTACTACTACTACTACTACTGCTACTGCTATTACTACGACTTCTTCCACGACTACGACTACTACTATAACTACTACTACTACTACTACGACTACTACTACTACTACGACTACGACTACTACTACTACTACTACTACTACTACTAATACTACTACTACTACTACTACTGCTACGACTACGACTACTACTACTACTACTACTACTACTACTACTACTACTACTACTACTACTACTACTACTACTACTGCTACTCTACTACTGCTACTACTACTACTACTGCTACTACTACGGCTACTACTACTACTACTACTACTACTACTACTAGTACTAGTACTATTACTACTACTACTACTACTACGACTACTACTACTACGACGACGACGACGACGACGACGACGACGACGACGACGACGACGACGACGACGACGACGACGACGACGACGACGAGGCCGACGACGACGGACGACTACTACTACTACTACTATACTACTTCCAACTGTTTACTAGTAATGTTTTAACAATAAGGGTTCTCGTCAGACTATTAACAATAGCACTAACGCTGATGAGGAGGATAGCGGAGGAGGAGGAGGAGGATGGAGGAGAAGGAGAAAAACGATGAGAGAAGGAGGACGTTGATGAGATGATAATGATGATGATGATTGATGAATGATGATGATGATGATGATGGATGATCGATGAGGAGAGGAGGAGGAGGCGGGAGGAGGAGGAGGAGGAGGAGGAGGAGGAGGAGGAGGGGAACGAAAAGGACGGAATCAACCACGGGTGGATAGAGGGATAATGGGTAGAGGCAAGGGGTAGGAGCAGAAGATGGCGGGGGCGGATGCGGAGACGGAGGGGTTTGGATAGAAATGGAAAGGACCTTCGCGCGCAGTGTCGCGCGCGCGTTGTGTAATATTCATCTGCGATGCCCGGGGGGCCACCGAGCAAGGCCCTGCGGTCCGGCGACATCAAATGGGAAGACTATTGAGCCCGCCGTACCGCTCGATCCCCCACTCCATTCCTCCTGCCGCTTTCCCTCCTCCTCCTGCTCCTCCTTCTCCTCCTGCTTCTGCTGCTCCTCGTCCTCCTCCTCCTCCTCCTCCTCCTCCTCGCCTTCTTCCTCTTTCTTCTCCTTCTCCTCCTCCTTTTCCTCCTTGTCCGTCTTATCATCATTTTTCTCTTCTTTCGCCTCCTCCTCCTCCTCCTCCGTAGCCATTTTGGCTCAAGGCCAAAATGGTGTTCATTTCACTGCCGATCTGGGGTAGGCTCCCACAGCTTTCAGTGCTCTTCGTATCTGCAGCCACACTCACGGGCGAGCTGCCGCCCACCGCAGCTACACTCAGGGGCGAGCTGCCGCCCAGTCCATATTCCTCCCTTGCGTGGCTCGCGAGAGCTCCCTGGGAAGCAGTGGGACGATGGCCGCCGCAGACCGCGGTGGAGGGACCGCCCCTGCCGACGGAGGAGCTGCCGCCAATGGCGGCACCAGGCCGCGACGTGCACGCCCTGAAGGCGGACGAGGCTCGCCAGCAAGGTTCGCAAGCCAGTACACAGTCTGCAAGCAGTGCCGATACCGATGGACGTGGAAGGGGAAGTCCGAGTGCTTCTACTGTGGCAAGCAGCTGGCCCCATCACCTGCCGAACACCGCCAGCCCACAGGGGCGTGGGCAGGAGTCAGCAAGCCACCGCCGTGGAAGGAGCAGCCAGTGGCCGCCGCCCCGACTAGGGACGCCATTCTCGCCACGCTCAGCACGCTCCTCAGCGACACCAAGCACGCCGAACTCGTCGGCAACCTCAAGGACGCCCTCCAGCAGCCCGACAAGCCGCAGCCTGCCCGCACAGCAGAGCAGGTGCTCCAGTCGGCGCTGTCAGTCCTCACAGACAGGGAGAAGAAGTTCAAGCAGTCGGTCGACGACGTCGAGGCCGCCAAGCAGTGGTACGACGACGCCGTGGCCAAACAAGAGCAAGCCGCCCTGGACCTCGTCCAGGCACAGAACGCATGCGCCAAGGCGCAAGCGGACCACAGCGCCAAGCTTGCTGGAGCAGCACGCGGAGCACCACCAGTGGGGCCTCAGGAAGCGTTCAAGGTCGACAGCTCTATGTGGGACGACCTCTCCATCTACGACGAGGGCACCCGCGCCCAGATGGAACAGTGGAAGCAAGAGCTCGACCAGCGCCTCGCCGAGCTCAACAATGGCGAAGAAAAAGTACGTGAACTCCTACGCCAAGCCAAGGAGTCCACCACCAACCCTGCGAAGCGAAAGAAGCCGAATGGGGAGGCACCGGCTGCTCAGCAACCTCATCCTGAGCCTGCTCCCGCTTCACCAGAGGAACAGCAGCCAGCGGCCGCGCCTGGAGGACAGGCACAACCTGGCACGCCAGGAGGCTCTGCCGCCCCACCTGCTGAGCCACGCCAGCCTGGAGGGGCCCCTGGGCCCGCTGCAGCCGCCCCTGCCGCCGACGAGCCCTCCGCGGAGGACCGCAAGGCCGCCGCCGAACTCATCGCCACCGCCGCCGGGGCCAGGGAGCTGGCCCTCGCAGCTAAGGGCTTGGGCAAGGGCGCCACCGCGGCGCCAGCGGCAGCGGCAGGAGCCCCACCGTCGCTGGGGTAGCCGCAAGCGGCCGCAGCGGCCGAGGGGGCCTGGGAACAGCGCCAGTGGGCCCCCCACGGCAGGTGCACCCGCCCCTAGGCCCGAGCAGGCAGCGCAGATCCTGTTCGGCAACATAACGGCGCGGGGCCCGCAGGCCGCAAACTTCTGTCGCAACGCAGGCTACAAGTGCCACCTCATAGCGCTGGCGGAGACGCACGTCGACGCGAAAGGCCTCACGGAGCAGATTGGCAAGCTCGCCATGGACGGCTGGAAGCTGTCGGCCACGCCCGCGGTGGCCACCAACAAATCGGACAAGGGGACCCATGGCGGCGAGTGGATCCTCACGCGCAGGGGCGTGGCGGCGACCACGTTCGAGGGCTACAGGGACTACTACGTCAAGCGCCACAAGAGGCAGCCGTTCGTGAGCTTCACGCCGACGTCCTCCACTCCAAGAGCGGCAACATAGTCGCCCTGGCGGCGTACCTGCGCCCTGGCCTACGGGGCCAAGGCGCGAACAGGGACATCCTGGTCTCCATCTCCACCTTCGTGGACATGCTCATGGACCCGTGGATCACCCTGGCCGACTGGAGCTACGAGCCGCACTGGTGGGGCAACAAGCCGTGGCTCACGCGATGGAACGGCGCCATCCTCACCGACCCGAGCTGCGAGGCGACGTGCGACAAGGGCTCGGGCTCCGTGTACGACTACGCGATCGTACGGGCGGACATCGCCACGCACGTCGGCATCGAGGCCATCTACGACGTCCCCTGGAAGGCCCACTGCGGCATCCAGATCACGGTGGGTGCCGCCGAGCCGTGGCAGTGCAAAGTTATAAAGGTTCCCAGAGCCCTCTCCGCGCGAGCCAGACCCAAGAAGGTCGCTGACCCGAACAGCAAAAGGTCCAAGGCTCGAGCGGAAGCGTTGCGAACCAGGAGGGAAAGGCTACCAGAGCACTTGCGCGACGAGTTCGACGCCCTCTACACCAACCGTGAGACGGCCAATGAGGACCCCGCCCCCTTCGTCATCCCCCAGGAGAATTGGGGCGCAGCCGCCGACGAGGTCAGCAACTTTCCGAAGTTCGATGGCGCAGAGGTCGGCACCAAGGAGGGCAGAGGACACATCTTCCACAACCATGCGCCGAACCTCGCGGAGAACATCAACTCGAAGTACGCGCAGTGGATCGCGACCCTGGAGCTCGCCTTCCTGGATGCGCACGTGGTCCCCGTCGAGGACAGGGCCAGGTGCCAGGGCAGGGCAGAGGGGTACAGGACCACCAAGCAGACGATGAAGGCGCCGCCTGGCAGAGCGCACCTCAAGGACCCCGAGGCCACATGGTGGCAGCACCTCAGCACCCTCGTGGTGAGGTACACCGCGCTGGCCACCAACGGCAAAGGCCCCAAAGCCCGCCAGCACGTTCACAAGACAGTCATGAAAAAGCTGGACGACCTAGAGAACCCTGAGTTCTCCAAGGAGCACTTCGGTAGGAAAACCGACCCGCAGGAGATCGAAGAGTGGAAGACCCAGTTCGCTATCCCCGAGTACTGCGACGAGGCTGACCTGCACCGCATCAGCGCCACCACCATGGAGTGGGCCCACAAAGCCATGGCGAGAGCTGCAGGCAGAGCGCGAAAACGATACCTTGGCTGGGCGAAGCAGGCGTGGAAGGATTCACCAGGCAAGCTGCGCCGCATGGTCGCTGACCCCAAGGCGCCGCGCCTGGGGGACAAGCAGCCCCAGAGAACGGTGGGCGACCCATCAACGCTCATGAACCACTCTGCCGACACCTGGCGATCGATTTGGGCGTCCGGCAGCTACAACGCCAAACAGATCATCAGCGCATACGATAAGGCCATGCGGCTCGCGAAAGGGGACCCCCTCCCGCCAATCGAGCCGCATCGCATACAGGCCATCGTGGGCACCGCCAATCCGAAGAAGGCGAGAGGAGTCGACAAATTCGGCCCCATCGACATCCAGAGGCTCCCCCAGAAAAGGGATCCAGGAGCTCGCCGACATCTACAACCAGGTGGAGGCCAACGGACTGTGGCCGCAGCAGCTCTGCGCCACCATTGGGGCCATGGCCCCCAAGCCCGCAGGTGGAGAGAGAATCTTGGGCATGCTCCCCGCAACCCCCAAGACGTGGGCCAAGGTCCGCTCCAGTGTCACCGACGAGTGGTCCAAGGAGCTCGGGGAGTTCTGGGACACCGCCATCAAAGGCTCCAGCGCCTTAAGGGCAGCGCTGGTCAGGGCGCTGCTTGACGAGACGGCGGCGACCTTTGGCATTGCCTTCGCGACTTTGCTGATGGACGTAGAGAAGATCTACGACTCGGTCTGCTACGCGCCCCTCTTCGACGCCGCTATCGGGGTGAACTTCCCCCCGATTGTCGTGGCGCTGGGGGTGCAGCTCTACCTAGCGCCCAGGTACTTGCGGATGCACGGCTGGGTCAGCGACATCATAGATGCCGAGAGGTCCATAGTCGCGGGCAGCTGCAATGGCGGCAAGCTCGCCAAGGTCTACCTGGGGCCGATCCTGCAGAGGGCCCACATCAACCACACTTGCGCGGGCCTGTGGACGTTCGTGGACGACACGGTCGCGAGAACAGCGGGCCAAACCAAGCAGGTCATCAAGGATCTGATCGGGGTTGGCGCCGGCCTGTGCGAAGGTATGATGGGCGCGGGGCTCCGAGTCTCCCCCAGGACCACCGTCGCCGCCTCCAGCCAGACGATCGCCTACGCAGTGCACGACGGCCTCAAGCAGAAGGGCTACTACGTCAAGGTGGCCAACAGCGCGGTCGACCTCGGCATTGACGTGGGAGGCGCCAAGAGACGGGTTGTGGCCAAGGCAGCCAAGAGGGCCAGGACTGCGAGGAGGCGCGCTCACCGCATCGTCGCCAAGGTCAGGAAGCACGCCTCCCTCGCCAAGATCGCGAAGGGCTTGTGGAACACGGGCGCCAGGCCACAGGGGACCTACGGCCACCAGGTCATGGCCTCGCCCCAGCGGCCATCCTTGACCAGAGGCGCCAGGCCGTCCAGGCCTCGGCGGGGGAGGTCCCTGGCCGATGGCTCTCCGCAGCCCTGGCCGTCGTCATGAGGAAGAAGGACTCCGCCATCGTGCTCAGGCGCCAGTCGATCGCCGAGTGGCTCAACTTCTGGATGCAGTACCCAGAACACCACATGCGGGTCACGCAGGCGTGGAAGCTCATTTACGACAAGTCGATCAAACGCCGCAACAAGAAGTGGAGGAAGGTCATGGGCCCCATCTCCGCCATCCAGGCCATCCTCCTGGGCGCGGGCTGGACTTGCCCGACGCCAACGGAGCGGTCGCGACCTCCGTGGGCAGGCGAGACCTACACCCAGGAGTGGCAGCTACCTCACAGTGGACAATCCGACTGGGAGGACAAGCGCTACGGCGTGGACCCTGCGGAGTTCGTCCACGAGTTCTGCCTGTCCCTCGAGAGGAGC